TGTTTAGGGTTTTAGGTTTTAGTGCTTACCGTGTTACAGGGTTTAGGGTTTTTTTTTGAACGCCTTTTTCCACCTGCCGGAGCATCCATCAGTTGGAATTCGGGTTTAGGGTTCAGGGGTAGGGTTTAGCGATGTTTGGGGTTTGAGGTTTTAAGGGCTTACAGGGTTTAGAGTTTCGGGTTCAGGGTTCAGGGTAGGGTCTAGGGATGTTTAGGGTTTTTAGGTTTCAGGGCTTGCAGGGTTTAGGGTTTCGGGTTTAGGGTTGAGTATTCAACTTAAGGCTAGTAGGTTTAGGGCTTAGTATGAAATTTAGGGCTGATGGGGTCTCGTGTTTCGAGCCCAGGGGTTCGGGCTTATGGATCGGACAGTCTACAAGCTTCTTATGGGATCTCTTACGGCCCTAAACCCTCAACTAACCCCTCCCGAATACCCTCAACCCTAGAGCCTAAACCCTTCAGCCCTAAACCGAAAACCCCCAGAACATCATGAACCCTGAACCCCCAAACCCTTAAGCCCTAAACCGAAAAACCCCCAAACATCCTGGACCTTGAACCCCCTGAACCCACGAGACCCTGCATCCCAGGTCCCAGACCTCGCAACGGAAGCGCGGGGCCCTCCCAGAAGCCGGGCCGGCTCCACGGCCAGGAACTAGATCCTCCGATGGCGGGGCTCTGGCAGCAGAACATACTAGAAACGAGCTCTCAGTATGTATATATATATATATATATCTCTCTCTCTCTCTCTATCTATATATATATATATATGTATCTGTAGCAAGAAGAGGATCAGGAGCCCCTTCTCGGTCTTGAGGAGGAAGCTTATCTTGCATGCTCGGCACGCTCTAAACAGTCAAGCCTAAAACTTTCTTTGTGCAGGGATCCACGGCTTGAAGGACTCGGGGGAGGTGCAACAAAAGCATAGTTTGGGGTTTAGAGTTAGAACCGTTTAGAGATGTTCTTAGCCAAAGCTTGATTTGCTCAACGCGTTTTCGGATCACAGGTACATTGAAAAGGCGGGCTTCTCATGCCTGTGAGCCCTACGAGTTTCAGCCGCACTTCAGCATGGTAAGCATCGCCTCGTCCATCTCAGGCCTTCTAGGAATGATAAAGGCAGCCAAAACTTGCTTTGAGGATGCTGAGCTTTGCAAAGAGAAGAATCGCGACGATGACGAAGACCCCGATACAGATGCCGGTGCTGATGATAGCATCCCGACATCTCGAAGCCCGACACTTGAAGCCCAAACCCCAACAAGAGATGAAGCCCTAAAGCCACCAATTCATACAACGGCCTCTCACCAGAGCCCTTAGCCAGAAGCCGTAGAAGAAAGCAACTCAACCTCGGACCCTGCAACCCGAAACCGTCGACCGGTAGCCCTAAACTCCGCAAAACCCAGTACCTCCTATAAGCCCTGCGCGGCCTGAACCCCTAATCCCACATCCCCCTACGGTTTAGGGTTTAGGGTTTAGGGTTCAGGGTTTCGGGCAGAGCCCTTCAACAAGCGCGTGAAGTATCCCTAAGAAATCCTCATAGGAGCCCTGCAGAGCGCCTGTGGAGGAGGGCAAGGATCAAGAGCGGCTGGAGGCAGAAAAAGCCCAGTTCCTTGGCAGGCTTGGTGGGTTTAGGGTTTGGGGATTTATTTTTTGGTGGAGTTTAGAAATTGCGGAATTAGAGGGTCTACAGTGTAGTGTAAGGCTGCGCCGGTTTTTGAACCCTAAACCGACAGACCCTAAACCCGTCATCTTTGAATTAGTGTTTAGGGTTGAGGGCAGTGCATAATAAGCCCTCCCCAGACCTCTATGCCAGCCCTAAGCACCGCAGGCCATCAAGCATACACCGAAATCCAAAGCAGTAAATCCTTCAAAACTTAGTTCGTAGTACATGCAGGGAGACTTTGCACACGGAGCTATTGTCGTAAAACAAACGATGTTGGTGCCTTTGTGGCCTTTGTAGGTTTCCCGCAGATGCCGGGTTCCTTGCTAAAGCCTTCCAAAAGGAGTGGCTACGACACAGTCGATGATGTTTGGGGCTTTTGTGGGTCTCTGTCGGTATGGTGCCCGCTTCCGTTAATAAGGCGTCTACGACACTTTCTTGTCTGACAGCGTATGCGGAGGGGTTGGCGGTGACACGCTGTACGGCCACGGAATAGAAAGCCCGCCTTGAGAGTGATTGGGAGGGGGGGGTGAACCCTAAGCCCTAAACCAAACCCCCAAAACCCAAAGCCCTAAAGCCCTAAACCCCTTATATAAACCCCAAAACCCTAAGCCCGAAAGCCCTAAACCCCTTCTTTAACTAAGCCCTCAAGCAATAAAGCTCTTATATAAACCCCAAAACCCTAAGCCCCAAAAAGCCCCAAAGCCTAATAAACCCCAGACAGTCAGACCCGGCCTGTCAGGTCTGCCGCCTCATCGATCTGGCAGGGTTTAGGGTTTAGGGTTTAGGGTTTAGGGTTTAGGGTTTAGGGGGCGAGAAAAAGCGCCGCTCTGGCTTTGGCTTTGGGGTCTTGGGTTTTTTGTGTTGGGGCTTCGGGGGTTTAAAAGGGCTTTGGGGGTTTAGGGCTTTGGGTCTATAGGGCTTTCTGGCTTCAGGGGTTTTAGGGTCTTGGGGTTTAGAGTGTTGGGGGTTTAGGGTTCCGGGGTTGAGGGTTTAGGATTTTCGAGTTTTGGGGCTTCTGGCTCAGAGTTTATGGCTCCGGGTGAGGACGTTGCGGGTTTAGTGCTTAGCGCTCTTGGTCTGTAGGATGGCGGGTTTCGGGCTTGGTGGGTTTAGGGCAAACTTCAGTGCTTTGCACAAACGTATTGGGATCGTATACAGACTCTGTAAGGGTTTTTGGGGTTGAGGACGCTCGGGGTCGCGGGCAGGGGTGAAGGGTTTACAGGGTTTAGGGCTTAACCTTGACTGAGCACGGTATCGCAAACATAGGCCTGCTGATGGAGGCTTATGGGATGTGCAAGGGTTAAGAGTCGCTCAAGACTTGCAGATGGGCACCTTCAGGGCTTGTTCTAAGCGTCGGCTCAAGAAAAGGTGTGAGATTTACAAACCATATGTCCACGTTGCCGATACTAAAAAGGACCTTGATTCGCAACGATCAGCCGTCGACTTCAGGGTGTCAGGAAAAAGGGTTCAGGGCTTGGGGTTTAGGGGTTTAGGGTTTATTAGGGATTTGCAGCACTGCATTCCCCAGGTCACGCTCGTGCGAAGAGTTCTCTCCAGCATCTATGTTGGCCGGAGCACCTAACAATCAGGTACAACCGCAGGCACTAAACCCAAAGCCCTAAAACCCTAAGCAGTATATCGAAATGCCCAGCAGAAAATGGCCTGATAGTTGGCTCAAGGGACCCTCCGGGGGCATCCGGTTAGGGTCCTCATGTTAAAACGCTTTCCAAGCAGAAGCCACAGCATGAAGATGTGAGCTGCTTTGGCTTAGGGTTTAGGGTTTAGGGTTTAGGGTTTAGGGTTTAGGGTTGAACAATTCATTACTCTGTAACCGGAGATTGATCCGGATCAACGCGCTTCTGCCACGTCCCTTGTTGATAGGGCCATACTATCCCAAATGTCGCCTGTAGCTCGTGTACATAATGTATAGAGGGGTGTGTTTCTCTTTTGACACGTTCTGATATCCGGCTCTCCACCAGGCTGCCCAGGCGGGGCACACTCGGAAAATGCAAATGTCCTAGAGGCTGCGCTGTAGCGCGGCTCTGGGTCTTTTGACTTCGAGTTGTGCGGCTGTCTGACATCGAAGGTGCGGTAAATACTCCTACCTGTACCTTTAGCAGTACCATTATTACTAGTATTTGATACAATAACCATAATAAATTATTAAATATGATCATTATCATTATTACTAGTATTTGATACAGTAATCATAATAAATTATCGAATATGATTATTCTACAGTGCCATTAGTTCCGAGACAAGGCTCGGTGAGTTGGGAATTTCGGTTGGGGACACTGGGACGAGAGGGGGTCTTAGGGTTCGGGCTGCCGAAGGCTTAGACTTTCAGGTTAATTGCAAATTCAGCTTTAGGGTCTAGGGTTTAGGGTTTAGGGTTTAGGGGATTCACATCCTGGCGGGCAAGCCAGGAAAATTCTCCAACACCCCTACGGGATTTAGGGTTTAGGGCAGGGCGCAGAAAAGGAAGCTAGGTGGTGATTCGATACCACATTTGTTCGCCCTTCCTTGCATCCGAGGGATATCTTCTCCGTAAGCCGCTGGGATACGAGGTTCCTGGTATGCGAGACATTACCCCTAAAAACCAAATCCTAAACTCCCAAAACCTAAATCCTCAGCCCTGCAAATCCTACAAAGGAAATCCTGGATCCTGCCCCCATGCTGCGGGATTCTGCGGCGATGGGGCTTCGTGCAGGTGGGCATGCTTTCTTGCAGCACCCTCCTGTCAACTCCAGCTCTTGGCCGAGCGACCCTTGACAAGGGATCCATTGCTTAAGGGGTTCAGGGTTTAGGGTGATTAGAGTGTGTTCTTAAAACTAGGGGTCTGTCTTGGGCTTGGGGTGCTTCATCTTACTATCGTATGTCCATACTGGGATCCCCGATCTCTCAGTCGTCTCCCAAGAATAGAGCTTGAGGGTGTGGCGGTTTAGGGGTTCAGGGATTTACGGAAGCTTCGAGTCCAGGAATCGTATGGGCTGCATTTCAGGGCCCTAGACCCTAAACCCTAAACCTTTGGGTGCTAAGGGATGCTTAAAGTGTTTGGGGGTGTGGCGTTCACGCTTTAGGACGAGGAGAATAAAGCCCTGACGTCGGGGCCGTAATAAAATTAGAATAGGGTCTCGGGGGCTTCTTTTGCGAATGATTGACTAGTAAGGAACCCTACGGAGAGATTGCTAACTACTCGGGCTTCGATATTTACTGCCGTGACTACCCGACGACCACTATGACGGGACTGACTACTAAGTCGAATCAATGTGAGAACTGAACAATCTCTCAGATGGGAAGAAGGCTCCAACATATGCTTGCCTCGGCAGTTACACCGGATGCAACCATCATCTCAACATCCATCGCATCGCCTTCACAATCACCATCATCATCTTCACCAGTACCATCATCACAGGCGGAGACTCCGCGGCACTGCCATCAACACCAATGTGAGCCATGGCCACAAACATACCCAGCATGATAAGCAGCAGGATCAAGCCTGTGACAAGACGGCTCACGAGAGTTCAAGAACTTGCCGCAGCTACTTCTCCGTATTTGAAGCTCATAGTTGCGGTGTCTTGGAGGATTGTACTCCCCGATGCAGTTCTTTCGACTGGCGAACGACGTCGCCCAAGGGCCTGACACCACTTCGACTCTGGACATTGACACTTGGCTTAGGTTTCAGAGTCCCGAGCTTAATGACCCCAGATCAGTAGATGGGTTTAGGTTTCGGGTTTAGGGTTTATGCTTTGGAGATCCCTTGCAAGAGTCTCCCTCAAAATGCCTTCAGTCTCCTGGGAGGAGCAGTAAAGTAGCACAAAGGCATCGGGGCTTCGCTTAGGAAGCCCCTTTTACATCTCCCAAACGTCGGGAACCGCTTGACAGTCACGTGCATCTCTCCGTGGAAACCTAGTCTTGATCGGAGCAGTTTCTCTTTTAGTCGACGGCCAAGGGCTTAGGGTAACCTGCACAAACTACCAGAACCATACTGGCACGATGTCGACCCTTGCAAGACCTGGTTTGTATTGAGGAATGTCGGAGTATGCATTAGTCCCATATCGTACCACATTATGTAACAATGCTACTACGATATCTTGGACATCAACAACCGAGTACGATGTTCTTATTCAGAAAAACGGCGAACGACAGTCAAATCTCTGACGCTCAATCAAGTCCCGTGAAAATGAACGAGATCGCAGCATTCAAACATTGCCGGTCGAACTGCATAGCCTTCTGAAACCACGGGTATCTGTGTAGTGAATTTCTGTAGTATGTATATAGCGTTGCGATAACGAAAGGCAGTTCAACACAAACAAAGGTAATAGTGCGCATGGCACGTAACCCTAGTAATCACTGTGCTCTTCTACATCGCCTTAATCCACAACCTCCCGGATTGCACCCTAAACCTCGAGCCTCATAAACCCAAATATAAACTCTGTGCAAGCAGTTCCTTGGTATTAGCGGCACTTGTCCCGCGAATTCGTAAACGTCGTTCGACCCCTGGATGTCGATATGGAGAGAGGACTCTGGGCCTTGCCCTAAACCCTATAAACCCTCAATCCTAACATGACCTGCGCCCGGCTGCTTCGGCCTTTGTTGGGACTTAATTAGACACACAGTGGCTGCTGTCGACTGCAGGTTGTTGGGGTCAGGCGCCTGGGTTCATGAGAGTTTTCAGCAGATTGGGGGCTGAAAGCTAAACCCCGGCGGGAGTCTTAGTTGCAAAACCGAGCGCTACATCCCACAAGAACTTGGCAGAACAGCAGCACCCTGTAGAGGGTATCCATTAGCATAGGCTCTTGCACAAGTATGAGGATTTTAAACCCAAAACCGCTGTTCTCTCCACGTCCGACATGCAAGAGGCTCACGCAGCGTCCTAAGGGGTCGCTCAACTGGCCCTGCAAGGTATCGCTGACTGTGGCTCTGTGGGAGCGGCTTAGGGTTTGCTCGTTTTTGGTTCGGGGTTTGGGGTTCAGGATTTATTCGGATGTAAGATTGAAGTTGCCGGTCTCGGGTCACGGTTGTCCTCGGAGGATCGCGCGAAAAACTCAGAGCTATCGGGTCGAAACGGAAAGTCTCCGCTTCTCCAACCAAGAATCGTCAACAACAACTCGTAAGTCACAAAGGCTTCACGGCTTTCGAGACCAGAATGGGCAGGGAGTAGGTCGGGCTATAGGGTTTGAAGCTTTCTTGCATTAACCCACTACCTCTGGGGTAGGACAGAGCACCTTTCTGAGCTGAACACCCCGCATGCTTACCAAGCAGCCTGTTGCTGCTTGGTCTATCCACTGAAAAATCGCACGGATGGCTCCGGCAGCTACCAAGACATCTTGCAGAACTCTGCACTGCTGTCACCCACGCCTTTGTATTTACAGTCGACGAGGCTTCGTGCGGCGTTTGAGGGAAATTCAAGACCTCCGTGCCTAAACCGCAAACTCTAAAGTCACCCAGACTACTGAGAAGGAGCCTTCACGTCGAAAATCCTCCTAAACCGTAAAGCCGAAATCACAAAAGCCTTTCAGAGCCCTTAAGAACGTGAGGTTGTACAAAATCCGACTACGAATACTCAATCCCAAAGCTCTTTTTTACTCCTCATCGTTTTACAAAGCATCAAGGATTATCATGTAACGGGGCACAGGCTTGGTGTCTTGCAGCAACTAGTAGCACCTCATACTAGTAGTAGTGATCATAATAGGACTGGTCACAGCACTCATGTAACATACATTCAGACGTGATCGTGGCATTTTACTTCTCGTCGTTGCACGCGGTAAACCTCACAAGGGGCATCCTACACTAATCTACTAGAGCCTCACTTGTTATACAACATCTTGTTTTGAGGAACCTTTATACCAAGCCCATAAGGCCCATACAAGATCCCCCAACATGCCACCGGAAGTCCCGCCAGATCCTGCGGGGTGGCAGGTGTCTAGGCAGCCCCCTCCGCCAAGCCAAGAATGCCATAGCTCGCCGAGGCGTTTGGGCAAACGCACGAGTCTTGGGTTTCAGGTTCAGAGTTTAGGGTTTGCCCTAAACCCTAAAGGTGTAGAGGTTAGGGCTTAGAGACTAGGGTTCAGAGCTTAGGGCAATTGACGAAGGCTTCGGAGGCTCTAGGTTTTTCAGGCTTATACACGAAGTCCTACCTTCGGGTAACCCGACCAATCAAAAACTCCTGAGACCCTGAAGCCCGAACCGTTCAGGTTGAATGCTATACCCTACACCTTCAACCCTCACTTCCAAACTCTTGACTCTAGACTCCTCACTAAACACTCAAACCCTACGTCCTACCTAGACCCCAACGACCCACGATTATGCCCTGGATATATGCTGAACAATTATTACGGGGCGGGGGGGGGGTCTGGCAAAATCCTGAACCTCAAATCCTACATGCCAAAAAATCTCTTTTCAGAACCCCTCGACGAACCAGACTGGGCCAGGCCTGTTGCAGCCGAGGCCGGTGTAGCCAGCAGCGCTGCTTTGATCAGAATTTTTAGGAGTTAGGATTTGGGAGAGAGCCATAAGTAGGCTGAAGAAGCCTTTACGGGGTCTCCCTTCGTACTACCTAGGAGTTTTATGTTAGAGCTTTGGGGTGTACGGCTCAGGGTTCAGGGCAGTAGAGCTCTTGGGTGTGGAGCTTAGAGTTTAGAGTGCGTAGAGTACCGAGGCGGTCACTGCATTGCACCCTCCAAGGCCATGCGTATGTAAACTTGGGGCAAGAGAAATTTCCCGCTCTGCGTTACTGCTGGCCACGCTTGACAAGTTCCAGGCGGGGACGACATGGATCCTTAGACGTAGGCAGGGTTCGAGCTTGAGGGCATTTGGGAAGTTTGGGGTTAATCTAGGGGCCTGAACACTTGGAACAGGGTTTAGCGGAAAGTTATGGCATAAGAAAATAGGGCATAGAAGGGCGTGCGATTACTAAATATTCAAGCCACTGAAATAATTGGGGGTATACTTTTGGTATAATGAACAGCTTTCGGGCCAAGCCAGACTATCCTCTAAACAGACCAACTACCCATTAGAAGGATAACGAAGGTTCTAGTGAGGGTATCTCGGAGTCGGGGGTTCTGGTAGGTTCCCCGGCAGCGTTACAGAGAGATTATAGCTGTTCCGATCTGCACACAATCCTGCCACACATCAACAACCTCCAAAACGTATCTCGGTGCAGTGCAAGGGACCCGCGATGATGTCTCGTTGCATCAAGACATCCTATCCTGCATGGCTGCAGTGAGCTTGAGGTCCACTAATCACTCTCCCAAGTCTCCTGAACCGTCAATGCCTGGAAAAGGCTACAACCCTCCAAGCCCCCAAAACTAGCCTGCTAGCAGGCTTCGCCCTATAGACTCACAAGAGCCCGAACAGTTTGCGCTTCAGGGTTTGCGCTTGAAGTGACTGCATAAGCACTTGTGAACGATGCCCGAAATGGGGACTGTATCCATATAAGGTTTAGGGTCTGGAGTTGTATGATATGGCAAATTTGCTGTGTATCCAAGCCCCTACGAAACCCTCATAGAACCCTCTTGAAGCCTAAATCCCGAAACCCTCAACCCTGAACCCTAAGCCCCTAAACCCTAGACCCTAAACCCTAAACCCCTAAACCCCTAAACCCCTAAACCCCTAAACCCCTAAACCCCTAACCCCCTTACCCTAAACCCCTAAACCCGAAGCCTTGACAGATTCCCTTACACAACCCTCATGGAACCCCGATCCGAGCCCCGAGTGCGGCTCGCTGCCCTCGACCCTGAACCCTGAACTCTACTGGGCTTAGGGTTTAGGGGTTAGGTTTAGGGTTTAGGGTTTAGGGTTGAGGCTACATCCTAAACCCCAAAACCCAAGGTTTAGGTTGTAGGGAGTTTAGGGCTTGTGATTCTTGGGGGTTTGGCGGCTTTGGGGCCCCAAGCTGAAACCAAGACCAAGACGTTTGCAAAAGAGCAGAAGGGCCCCTGCAACCCTGCGCCCTAAACGAAAATCCACTTCCGAGATCCGTGCGCTCTGATGAGCCTTGATCCCTAAACTCTCAACAAAAAAATGGAAAGCCTGGTGCGAAAACAATTCGGAGTGTAGTTTTGCATATTTGAAATAAGGACGCCCAAGGAGTGATATCTGAATTTTGCCGACCCCAATCCTAAAGCCCGAGTTCGATGCTCCTTAAATTCGCCCGAATTCGTACGCAGAGGCGGGGAAGAGGCGCCAATTTCCGCTTCCGGATAGCTCCAAGACCTCGTGGTTGAGGGCTTAAGGCTTTAGGGCTTCAGGGCTTCAGCGTTTTGGGTCAGAAGTGTTGAATGGGGGGGGGGGGGCTCGTGTCCGAGGTTGTAGATGTTGAAATGCGGTTCAGGCTGTAGGGTTCAGGCTTCAGGGTTTCAGGCTTTGGGGCACCGGGCTTTGGCTAGGCTTACGGTTCTGCAAGATTCGATAGGGTCTTGCAGGGTTGTTCATGGGGGCTGTAAACAAGATAGGGGTAACGACACTACGAGGGACTATTCCTAACTACTTATTCTGAGGGTTCATAAATCCATCCAACCAGCCCTAAACCCAACCCTTCTAAAGCGTTACAGCCGAACACCAACTGCTGCCAACCTCGTCGTGATACTCTGCCAATGTCGGCCTGTGACCCACGCCTTGGATGGCGAAGCTTGCATTCCTCCAGCTTTCGGGCTTAAAGTTGGGGTTTGGGGTGTTGAGGTTCGGGAGTTCAGGGTTCGTGTAGTTGGGGGCTTAAGGCTTACAAGGTTTAGGATTTAGGGCGTACAGGCTTTAGGTTCTGCCGTTGGTGCTCGCAAGTGCATTTCGCTCATTACTTCCAGTAGTATTGTTGCGGGATGCAAATAATGCGGCCAGATGTGGTGGTCACATTGAGGACAAGTGCCAACAAGGCAGTTGTTCCTTTCTTGTTGTGTACAATACCAGTCGCAGAACAGAGCAATAATGGCAGTCGCAGCAGCAGGAACAATTCTGAGGCTCCAGGTTTCTAGTGACTAGATGCTTCCAGTAGCTCCGCCGGTGTACCCTAGGAATAGCCAGGGGTTCTGGTTTAAGGTTTAGGTGTCGCGTTGGGGATTTAGTTTCGGGTTCAATTAGATGCTGCGGCTGCGCCCTGCGCGCCTGTGGCAAGTCTAAGCTTTTGGGGTGTCTGTTCTCAGGGGGCGTGTTGCAAGCAGCCCGTTTACAAAGCCAATAAGCCCCTGTACAACTCTATTTAAACAATCCTCTAGTCACTCGCCATAAACCCCCAACTGCCTAAATTCGAAAGACGCAATCTCTAAGCCCTAAAACCATACGGCTTTAAACACTCAAGCACGGTTCTTTTTTGAAGCACTTGCAATGTTCCTGTCGTCATCGCAAAGCTCAATCTCACGCAGGAGAGGCCGTCGACCACACAGAAACATTTCGGGAGAATTTGGATGTCATTTCAGCATTCAAGGTTTCGGGTGTAGGTTAATGGATTAAGATTTATGCATTACCATTTCGGGATTGGGGTTCAGGACTTCTTGTGGGGTTTGGGCTGAGCAGTCTTGCTGTTCAGAGTTTCGGTTTAGGGCACCATGTATCCCCGGACACCTGATCCACAAGAGACACACGCCCACATTGCTAGCAACTGAATTGAAACCTAACTTAGCTACACATGTGCTCACAGCATGGACTTGGCATTGGAAGTTGCGTAAGGCGGACCTGTGTGTTGAAACCGGTTGACACTCAGATGTGCTACGTACATCTAGCCCGAAGATTCTAGCCGATGTGTTATGTTCGTAGAATTATTGTTCTGATTGATTCAAACACTTAACACGGTAGATGCTGCTGGTGTGAGCGAAGGTCATGGTGCAAACCATGAAGCGACTGCGACTCAACACCGATGATTTGATGACGACAACGACCAGCACGACGAAGACCAACATAATAATAACCAACACGACGACGACAACAGCAGGCACAGAAACTAAAAGTACGGGGACTAGTACAACAGTCATCACTAGTTAGTCAGCGTTCGTATTACTACTGCTGCTGCTCCTATTGCTGCTACTGCCACTATCACTACCACTATCGCTACCGCTGCCGCTGCTGCTACTGCTGCGGCTGCTGCTACTACCACGACCGCTACCACTGCCACTGCCACTGCCACTGCCACTGCCACTGCCACTACCACTACTACTGCCGCTGCCACTATCACTACCACTGCCACTAGGACGACGACTGATACTACTACTACTACTACTACTACTACTACTACTACTAGTACTACTACTACTACTACTACTACTACTACTACTACTACTACTACTGTTACTACTGTTACTACTGATACTACTGTTACTACTGTTACTACTGTAACTACTGTTGCTACTGTTACTACTGTTACTACTGTTACTACTGATACTACTGTTACTACTGTTACTACTGTTACTACTGTTACTACCGTTACTACTGTTACTCCTGTTACTACTACTACTGCTACTACTGCTACTACTACTACTACTACTACTACTACGACGACTACCACTACCACTACCA